CTCTCTGTGTTTGTCTCTCTGTGTCTGTCTCTGTCTCCGTCTCTGTCTGTCTGTCTCTGTCTGTCTGTCTCTGCCTGTCTCTCTGTCTGTCTCTGTCTGTCTCTCTGTCTGTCTCTGTCTGTCTGTCTCTGTCTGTCTGTCTCTGTCTGTCTCTCTGTCTGTCTGTCTCTCTGTCTGTCTCTGTCTGTCTCTCTGTCTGTCTGTCTCTCTGTCTGTCTGTCTGTCTCTCTGTGTCTGCTCTCAGTCCAGCTGTGAGTGTATGTCAGGAATGTCTCCTATAGGTGGCAGTCCTGAGTTTGGCTGTCAGCTGGTTTCTGCTTGCTCTGCAGACACCTGTGACCCGACAGCTGTCTGTCAGACTGAACTGGACGGACAACCCAGGTCAGACACACAAACACTGTCTATTTGTCGTTATGCCTGGATACAGAACTAGAACAGCTCCCTGTTAGTTTGTACAGTATGTGTGTGTATTGTAGTGTAATTAGTCCCCCCCCCCCCCCCCCCCCCCCCCCCCCAACCCCTTCTCTTTCAGGTGTGTGTGTGAGGCAGGTCAGATCGGCGATGGCCGCCGTTGCTATGGTAACCTGATGGAGCAGCTTATTGAGCTTGGCAGGACTGGAAGCCAGAGAGAAAATCTGACCGAAGCCGTTGCCCTGTTCGGTAAAAAAACAAGAAATTCACAGTAAAAAATGTTTGATATGTACTGTGCTTTTTGTCAGAGGTGTTAATCACTGGCTCAATTGAAATTCAGTTTTAATCAAAAGATAATAAAAGACCATTAATTATTCTGCTTTGGAAAGCACAATTACTGTAGAGCTAAAATTGTAAATTCATGAACTAAACGAGCAATAATATGAATTTATCCTGATTCTCCTCCATGGTGGAAACAAAGATTATGTTTTTAACATTACTGTAAAGTAAAAGTTTCGACTAAGCGTTATTATTAACAGATCTTAAGATGATAAATCTTTTATATTCAATAAAAAAAATAAACAATTAACCACATTTCTTAAGCTGTATTTACTGATGTTTGCATAAACTGCACTGAGCACATGACACTAACTATACAAACTCTCTCTTCACAGGACTACAGTGTGTGTTTTGTTTTAGACTGCTGACTACATGTTCTGTATGCTTCGCACTAGTGTAAATTGTTGTTATTTTGTGGTGGTGTTTTGTTTCTTTGTTGTGACCTTTGACCTCTGGTGTATATGTGTGTGTGTGTGTGTGTGTGTTGCAGAGAAAGGCTGTTTGCTGCTGCTGAGTCACAATGGACCGTTCACAGCTTTCATCCCCCTGATGTCACGACCTCTAACTGTAGGTCACCTGTCTGTCTGTAGATAGCCACCTGTCTGTCCGACTGTCTGACTATAGGTCAACTGTCTGTACCATCTACCTAGTTATAGTGAGGCCTTGTAAATCATCAGCGTCAGCAGATGATAAAACAAAGAGTGTCCAGTGATAATAGATATAATTCTCACTCTTCTCTCTTCACTTTCATTCATCCCATCACAACTCTAACCACAACCTAAACCACTGAACCCAAAATCAGCTTTTGTCCCCAACTATTAATTGGTCTTTTGTCTGAAAAATGCTCCCAATAGTAACCTTTGCCAGACTCTCTCTCTCTCTCTCTCTCACTCTGTCATCTAACTCTGTGAAGTTTGGGATTAACGAGTCAAATTTTTATTTATTATTACATTTTAAATATTTATTTATTATATTTGACACATTTTAAGAGGAAGTGCATCATCTCAGTCTCTAACTCATCTGTCGTGACGTGACCAAAGACGGGCGCCTTGTAGATAACCAGGACTTCCTGTGTTGTTCTTTGTCTTTGGTTAGACTGTGCTCACTGAGTCTGTATTTGGTCAGGTTTGTCTGTCTCTGCTTTGTAGCTCTGACAGTAAAGAGATACTCTGCCAATTTATATCCAACCCATGGTTTAGGGCCAGAGGATCTCTCTCTGTCTCTCTCTCTCTCTCTCACTCAGAGCTCGGCCTGGAAACAGAGACAACTAATGACAGATGGTCAGAACAAACTACAAACTAGAACAAACTAGAGTGTCAGGCCTCTGGGCACACACACACACACACACACACACACACACACACACACACACACACACACACACACACACACACACACACACAGTGAAATCCGAAGTAACCATAGAAACCTGAGTTGGAGATTTTAAATTTAGTGTATTTAAAGCAAGAATTTAAAGAGAAGACATTTAGAGGAATTTAAAACAGTAAAACACTGTCGACCGTCTGTGAAGGGGAAATGTGGACTCGAGGTACGTGATGGACTTGAGTCAGAAAATTGGTCTCCATTTCAATTTGATAAAATCAGTGAAGACTTGTGAGTCAACCATGCCTCCCTGATAAAAATCTTTTTTATGTTTTCACTTTATTTGTTTTAGATTTATTGCATTTAAACCCATAATGCGAGGTATGTTTTTTGTTTGTTTTTCCGGCACCAAAATCACAATTCCTTGAGCACAACTCTGCCTCTGGCAGGTTTATAGATGTGACTGGTGAAATCAGCTTTGCAGGTTGGAAACACTTCATAAACTCCCCAAGCCCAAATGATGATGTGACACTCGGGGACAGAGCAGACAACACTATGAATTCTTTTTAATTCTTTGGATAATTAAATTGATGAAAAACTGGGACTGTGGGACGTGAATGTCGAGACCAGTCAGAAGATGTTAATTAACATATCTGGAAAGTTGCAAAAATGCTGACACTGAGCGGATCAGTAAAGTGTTGCCTCATCCATTTAATTTGTTTTCTGTCAAAATACCTGATCTTGTAATACACTATTTACTCATACTAACGATGGCATTTTTAAACTCTCTTGGCACCCACAGCACTTGGTGGAGTTTAGGAAAAGATCATGGTCTGGTTTAGAGAAATAAAGTCTGCAGTGGCAGGATGGTTTCATTTACATTTAGTCAAAGCCAAAGTCTTTCCCAAACCTTAACCAGAGCTTTTGTCGCCTAGAGCAAACCACACGAGTCTCAGGATGTAAATGCCCGGACTCTGGTGTCAAAGTTATCTGCTTTGTATGCAGCGTCAATGATGTGGCCCTTTTCAGAGTCGCTCAGGTCTCAACACCTGCATCTCTCAGCTACCTTTAACATTTTTGAGCCTTGAAATATTCATGAGACATTTTTGTAAAGGAAGATTGCAGATATCCTTGAGGTTCCAGGGCTAACTTCCTGTTTGGTAAAGACCCGTAACATGCAGCTCACCTCTGATGGCATGTTCTCACTAACTAGCAAGAAAAGAAAAAAAATGAATAAATGAATTCCAGATTATTGATCTACTCGCTTACGCTGTCTCTACAGGGTGTTAATGAGGAGCTGGTGTGTAAAAACCACCTGATCCTGGGTCAGCACCTCTACAAGGATCTGGAGGGACGAGACTTCAACATGTACGGAGGAGCCAAGATGAGGAGCAAAGACAACAAGGTAATACTTCCTCTCCAAATGCCATCGCCCTCTTGGGACTCTGTTTTTCTCTTTCACTCACAATTACTGCCAAAGGTAAAGTTTTCTTAATCCAACGTCTTCAAAAGTTCAAACAATACTGTGGATATTTATCGTTCACAGTAGCCAAACTGAAGATGGAACAAATATTCATGTGATCATAAAGATAGGAAAAGTCCTCATGAGTTAAAAATGTTGAGACTGTCTTAATATTTAAAGATGATTACAGACACACAATGTAACTTAATTTTTATTGGTCCCACAATCAGAATTGCCCAAAGAAAAATGAGACAAAAATCACAACAATCCATAGATTTGGTTTCTGCTGTAGAACATCGTCATCATTCATCAGTTTTGTTGACATTAATAGCTTAACACACATTTTTAAGTAACACCGCCCTTCTGTCTGTCCTATGAAACAAAAACTCCTTCTTCTCATCAACTGTTATTCCTCTGATCTCATCCTCTTTCAAAACTATTTACACCACACAAAAAAGGGAAAGAGACAGTGTCGCACTATCTGTAAAAATGTCATCACAGCTTCGTTACCATCATCACTAGTATGACCAGTTTCACTTTGGATCCAAGGTTAAAATACCAGGATATGTTGAGCTCCAAAGCCAAAAAATCCCTTATCATATCTTTAGCTCATTTAGGTTTGATGGTTACTTATCACAGTTTCTGTTAGTTGTGTTATAAATGTGATTAGTAGAAGCTAGATTCTTAAAAATCAAGACAAATATTAAAGAAAACTGTTGAAATTTGTTTTGTTTCAGCATTTAGTTAAAGAAGCTGTTTGTAAGTTTTCCCTTCCGCTGAACGTGGTTTCTTGCCAGGAGCGTTTGGTGGTGATTCATCCATCGTTACGTTTACAAGACATGAGGTTATAACACGCCCTCTGAGCAGTGCTTCGTCTTTGGGGCAGATTGGAGGCTACAGTGAGTCGCTATTGGAAAGCGAGGACATGGGCCGGGGCTAGCTGGTTAGCGTGCTAAATTCAGTTGGAGAAAAGACATAATAGAGACAAGGAGCTAAAATTGGTGTTGCTTTCTTCTGCTGGAGACTCTTGGTGAGTGAAGGGATTAAGTTTGATGCTGAACTCGAAACATTTCTTCTACACTGGTAAGTAAACAGCTGTTCATGCTAACGTTAGCTATGTAGCGATAGCAAAACTTACAAATGGCTCCTTTTAAAATAAAAAAAAGATTCCCAAACAACAAACAAAGCTTTAGAAAAAGCTTATTTTGTTTGTTCCTCATAGTAAGGTGCTAAAATCCTTTTGTATAGGGTTAGGATTAATTTCATTGATGTATCAATCCTCAAAATCCAGCACTGCCCACAGTTGTCTAATACATAATGAAAAAGACAGATTGGTAAAGGTAAACAAACATCTGTGACATCTTACAAGTTTCATCTCACAGTAGATATTGTCATATTGCCCAACCCTATCATAATAATCTCTAACGGTGCTTTTCCACCGACACACAGACCTTCGCTGGTAAAATCCTCAGTGGGAGGCGATTCTCTGTGTAAATGTATGGAAACAGGGTGCCAGTGAAAGTGTGTTTGAAGGTGTGTATGCGTGTGTTAGTATCAAGATCAGAGAAGGACAGCGTTCCTTTGTCAAAGTCCAGCTGAACTCTGACCCTCTGGAGCTTCTTCTTCAGTGGTAGGTCGTTCTCTGAGCCTGAAGTAGAGAACACTGTGAGTTTCCTGTTGGAGAACAAAATTCTCCACAACCCAGACTGTAGCTTTTTGTTCATCTGGATCTTCTCTCCCAACACGCCCAGTTCCCAGTCCTTGTTTTCTCCCACATCAACGTCCCAACTGTGAGTCCCTGAGTTAAAACCTTCAGAGCCGCGAACAGAGCAGGAGAATTTGGTCCTCTCTGGATTTTTTGGAAGCTGTTGTCGATCTCCAGATCTCACACTGGTCAGATGCTCAGACACAACGAGCTCTGGATCAGCGGTGTTTGGATCCAGAATCACAGGACTGTAGGAGACCTTCTCTTTCATCTTTTTCCAGATGTTGAAGGTCAGGTTACCCAGATGTTTGGCCACGTCTATCAGAGCTCCCGAGTCCAGCTGTGGATCATCCAGCAGGGGGCGCTGCTGGACTCTTTCCACTGTAACCTTGTAGTTCTTCAGGAATGAGACGTCTTCAGCTCTCAGCTCGTCCTCTGTGGCTCTGACTGTGTGTGACAGAGCTGCTATCTCTCTGCTCAGAGCCTCCATCTTCTCCTTCATCATCTGACTCTTCTGCTCCTCTTCCTCCCTCAGAGCAGTGATCCTGGCCTCCTCTTCCTCCTCTAGAAACTGATGAAGTTTCTTAAACTGCTCCTTAATCTGCCTCTCTGTGTGTTGGGCCTTGACCTTAATGTGTTCTGCTGTTTGATCAAAGTTTCCTTTAACTTCTTCAAACAGCTTCAGTTTCTCTTGTAAAGGCTTCAAAGTTATTTGGAGCTTCCCTCTGTGATCCTGTGCAGCTTCATCGATGGGTCTGAATCTGTGGTTGTTGTGTGTTTTTGAGTCTCGACAGATGACACACACTGGCTGCTGATGGTCCAGACAGAAGAGTTTGAGTTTCTCAGAGTGCAGACTGCAGAGAGGCTCAGACGCCGCTGAAGCTCTCCGATTGCTCTTCAATAAAAAGGCCTCACACAGATTTTTTAATGCCAAGTTACGAGGTGGATCGCTCTTTGATGATCTCCTCATGCAGCACGGACACTCCCGTGTTTTTTTCTCCCTCCACCAGCTCTGCAGACAGGCTTTGCAGAAGCTGTGGCTGCACGACAGGACAACAGGATCTTTGAAGATATCATGGCAGACAGGACAGGACAGATCCTCGTCTGGTCTGGAAGACATTTTGTCTCTGGTAGAAGCTGAACACACAGAAAACAGACACTGAAGTCAGTCTAGAAAGTTCCTTGAAAATTACTTTCACTTTTGAGTGTTGGCTCTTCCAGTTCCTGGTGTGGAAACTGCAGCAGGTTGAAGCACAACTACTCCAGTACTCACAGTAATCCCAGCGTTCCCTCCTGCAGCTGTCCTCTGTCAGTTAATGTACGTGTTTCGTTGTGAAGGTTAATTTTATCGTCTGTCGCTCACTGTGTGTTGGTGTGTTTCCTCATGAACAAGGAATGGTGTGTTTCCTGTTTGTCTGTGTTGAGTCAGAGAGTGGGTGGAGCTTTGCTCAGACATATCAGAACTACTCATGTCTATCACACCAGGTGATCAAGCAGCTTGATCAAAACACCTTGTATTGTTGTAAAATATATTGGTATTACAATAACCAAGTGTGACACGTGTTGTTGAAAGCATTATCAGTGTCTGTAATCATTCCTCTTGTCCACACTGGCTGTGAACTGCTGAAGTGATTCCATATCTACTGTAAGAGATGGAGACGATATCCCCAACCCTCCTTCTGTGTGAACCTGACTAGAGCTGAAGAGAAAATGTGGCTTCAGCTTTCAACGTTGCAGTTTTTTTAGTACAGAATTTCTATCCTTTCTCGGGTTAAAATCTTTGCCCTAAGCAGTTGAAAGCCTATTTACAGATTCTTTTGTAACTAATTCATCTGAACATGAAAGAAGAGCAAAGGAAAACATTCTCACTCTTCAGTGGAGTTACTGCTTGCTTTTTTTAAATACTTCTTTGAGTCAAATGTCTATTGAAAAAACATCTGTTATTTAAACTCACTTCTATTTTATGAAAACGGCAGAAAGTTAAATATTCTTGATAATCTTACAATGAAAGCATGTGCAGCACAGAGGGGAGTTTTTTACTGACTGTGCGAACATGTCTGAATTTATAAATCTGTTTTAGCCATATTCTGGATTGAAGTCTTTTGTAAAAGAAGATGCACAGTACAGACAGTGATATATAATAATCACCTTTCTTCCATGCACATTTTAAATGTTAACACCTGGTTAGGCAGCAGGTGTCTACAAGTAAAACTTACTAAAACGTAAAAATAAATCCGATTATTACAGAAATTCTCAACCTCCAGGTTACATGAGTCCACATAAACACACTGACAGTCTCTGCTGTGGTTTCTCTTTCTCTCTCTTGTTGTTGTAGAAGTTCATCCTGATGGACAACCCCAGGAAACTATACACCGTCCTCCAGGAAGACCTGCCAGCAGCCAACGGCATCATCCACATCATCGACCAGCAAATCACAAACATGATTTCCATGAGGCCTGCTCATGACGAACAGGTGGGTTGAAAGGTCACTTCACCAAATATGGAAAACGTCCTCGTAGCACAAAAATACAACGGTTACACCGAGGAACTCGAACACAGAACAAAAACAAAATGCTTCAACAAAAATCTTCTCTGTACTTTTTGTATGTTTGTTTTTATAGAGTAAAAATGTATTAGTCTTAATTGTATGACTATTTCATTTTTTATGTCAGGTAAGTGAATAAAATAAGATGACTTCCTGTGACACCTGCATTGTAACTATGCAGTCTGATTTTACAGCAGCTTATTGTCAGTGGGAGACAAACAGCAGCCTGAGGAACAAATCTGTCCCTCCGATAAAAATATGTGCCCCCTCTGACAAGTTGTTAGTTTTTGTTTCCGTCAAAACATTTACATATTTTTTCATAAATCTTCTGGTAATAGGATGTGAACACAATTCTCATGTAAATCTGAATAAATTGACCTTGTAGCATCTAGATATAATGATCAGTTATTTTGCATTTCAAAATTAAACCAAGGGAACAACAATAAATCCATAACAATATTTTTACTATTCAACCATAAATGAAGCAGAGCCTATTCATCGTGTGTGGATAACTATAGCTTGCTGAACGAATATCAAGACACTGTATTTCTCCTGTAACTCTGCAGATATATGAATAAATTATAATTATAATAAATTATATCTGCCCGCAGGTACAATCCTCAAATATCCAATTTAATAAATCTGTCTTAAATGACATCAAATATTAAAAAATAAAATACACTAACAAACAAAACATTGATATCATTTTAAACCTGCATCTCCATCATGCCTGTAAAACTATGTTGGCCCTCTGTTGAACAATGCTGGAAAAAACTGGCCCGTGGTTGAACCTAATTGCTATGAATGTCAGTAATTAGATTTTTCTTTTTTTCCTCTTCTCCTTTTGTTCCAGTTTTCTGACAAGACGATCGGAGAGATTCTGACTAAGAGTGGACAATATAACCGCTTCCTGTCTCTGGTCGATGTGAGTATTTTTGTTCTGGCCACATCACAGAGACTTTTATCTCCACATGAGAAGAAATGAAATGAAACAGTCCTGATATTCAGGACAGTTGACAGCTGGTCGTACCGCTCCCCCGAACAACAGTGGTGGAAAGTTTACTCAAGCACTTCACTTGTACTTGAGTATTTCTGTTTTTTGCTCTACTCCGTTACAATTCAGAGATAAATATTGTACTTTTTACTCCACGACAGTTAACAGATCTTTATCTGATCTTTATGTGTTTGTAGAACTGTGGAGCGCCGCCTCCTCTGAAGGGGCCTGGACCCCTGACCGTGTTCATCCCCACCAACCAAGCTGTGGACCGATCCCGAGACGGCAGCATCCTGTACATGCTGAACGATGTAAGGACACTTTTCATTTATTTTATTTATTAGCAGTTAGTGCAGATAACAAAGAGGTGGGCTTCAAGGATAAGTCTGCTGATAATCTGTATTTTTATTATTATCAATAAATCCCATGGAAAGACAAAACCAACAATGTATTTGTTCTCAATCTCAGTACTTTGTTGGTTCCTATTTTTTTTTTTTCAGTTTCTAAATATTTATTTCATCTTTGATTGAAGATTATCAGATTTTTTAAAATTATATTCTGCTTTTTTTCAAGGCCAAATATAAACTTCAGGAACTCCTCAGACATCACGTTTTCTCCCAGGCTGTGGTAAGACACCCCCGACCCAACGCTCCCTCCATCAGTCATCTATCCATCAATCTATCCATCTTTCATTCCCGCCTCTTTCTTCCTTTTTGCCTTTTGTCCTTTTTTTTCTCTGCTAGTGGAGAAAGAGATGCCTTTCTGTCCAACATGTTGGTCCGCAGCAAGATATCTCACGACAACATACCTCTTGATATAAGAGGTTAAAATCATCATCTGGTGCTTTGATCCCATTCCCGTTCTGCAGCGGAGGAAACCTTTAGATTTAAAGGATAGATTCACAGTTTCTCTAGTCCGTCTTAAAACGAGCAGTTTGAGGTCCTGAGGACAAGCAGATCTTCCTTCTTTCTTTTCAGTATAAAGTTTTCTGTTTTTGTTCATATCCTTCTACTGCAGCTAATCGGGGGAATCACAGAAGGAATTTTACACTAAAAACACTTAGATTTGGAGGACACTTACTTGACTAACGCAGCAGACAGGCCACAGTTTTTCAGAGGAGGACTGTGAATTTTGATCCCTCTCACTTACTGAGATGTATCTTTGAGAGTTTGACTTTAGAAACATGTGATCTATGGACCACCTTGAACTGAATGGATGCTGAATGCGTTCTTGAAAGTATTTCTGATCAGTCCTCTCCCCTGATCTCTAAGCCCAGGTCATCCTGCCAATGCCTGCTTCAGTGCATCAACAGATGTAGTTTGTAGAGTTGATCTGATCTGATGCCTTTAAGAGAAGGATCTGTGGGAAAAAAGTCACCTAAGTTTTGTTTTAAGACGGACTCCTTTCATGACTCTATTATCTTTCCTCTAGTGCCATTTTCAGGGCAAACATTTTAGCTTCACAGTGGCTGAGGTACCAGGAACAGTGAGGTCATCAGGATGCTGTTCGTTCTTTCCAATATGATGTTTGACAACTGGGACTTTGTCAACCTTCAACGTTTTAGTTGATGTTCTCTTCTCTGTCTGTAGCTGACAGTCGACGACTTGGCCAGACTTCCGAGGATCCTGACGATGGCCAATCAGATCATCACCATTACTGTGTCTGATGGTGTAAGTGTCCTCTGATTGGTTCTTCAGTGTCCGCCATGGTCGGTCTCATCTATTGACTAATTCACATTAAACATTAGCAGTTTCCATGAATACTACCCTGCTTTCTCCTGCAGGGTGAGATCCTACTGGGGGAGAAGGGTGTCCGTCTGGTCACCACCAACATTGTGGCGTCCAACGGGATCATCCACATGATTGACGGGCTGCTGTACCCGCCCTCCATCCTCCCCATCCTGCCTCACCGCTGTGACGTCATTGAAAGCAAGATCACCGTGGTGAGAGGAGGGAGGCTGAGAGTCAAATTAAACTGTGCAACAAACATACAGAGGACATAAAAAGTAAAGACTGTAAGTGTTGTTGATTTGTGTGTGTGATCGTGTGTTTTAGGGTCCGTGTGTCCACTGCAGTTACCTCTATGAGACAGAGTGTCCAGACGGCAGCACTGAAATGGTAAATACATCATTGTTACTGCCATGTGAATGGATGATAAACTGTGCAGTCGCTCAGCCTCTCAGAGCTGCGTATTAACGAGACACTATGATACTCCTCTTTGACTATTAATTCATATTTTATATGTAAAGATAAAGTGTGAGGGAGTAGTTTGACATATAAACAATCAGAAAGGAAGTGTTATGAAATGATTAACTCTCTTGTTTTTTTAGTCTATTAAGTATAGAAGATATAGCAGATATTATTTTCTGACACCAGGTAGAGTCTGTGCTTTCATTTACCTGGAGTGACAATTAAATGATGTATTAGATTACTAAAAACTTTCTTTTAATAAGAGCCTTTTGTTTATATAAAGAATTATAGTTCATTGCTTTTATTGTGATTGCTTTTCTACCTCTGGCCCCTGGTTGGCGATATAGACGAGAACAGACAGCCAGTAAATCAGTGTGTTTGTCTCTTCAGGACAGTCATCAGACCGGCTGTGATTACGTCACGTCTCCTCTGAATCCAACACTTAGTAAAGGCTGTGCCAAATACTGCAACACCACCAAAAAGGTGAGAGTGGAAACACTGAAACAACCTCCAACAGGAGATTTATTTTTAACTCCATCCAGCCATCTTCCATCTGTCCCTACTGCTAAAGGCTCCTTCAAATGGGAAAGTGTTCACTGTGTTTTCTGACAGTTTCAGAGATCACTGGTTCTGACATATGCATACTCTTTTACAAATGGTGGCACCTGTGGAAGTTCTTATCTCCTTTCTGTGCTCTTCTCTTCTCTCGTTCCTCACCTGCTGTTAAATCCGCAGGAAAACATGGTTCATAATTTTTTTTTGCAACCAACCGTTTGTTTATTTACATAGTAACAGAGAAGTAAAAGGAAATGAACCTCCACATGCAACAGCCATCAGTCCTTCTCCCACAAAACCTGCGTGTGCGTGTGTGACTTGTTTTTGTTTTTCACAGGTAGCAGAGTGTTGTGATGGTTTCTACGGTCCCGACTGTAAACCCTGTATTGGAGGATTCCAGCATCCCTGCTACGACAAAGGACGGGTGAGCAACAAACAAACAACTCTGTCACAGGAGCCTCGTCTCTTAACTGATGTGTTTTATTGTTATTTATTTATTTATCTATTTACCGCATGCCAGTGCTCTGACGGTATCAACGGCAACGGCTCGTGCAGCTGTCAGTCAGGCTTCAAGGGTGTCGCCTGCCACATCTGCTCAGATCCAGCCAAGCATGGAGACAACTGTGACGAAGGTAACAGCTCCTCCTCGTTAACGCTATCAGAGCAACTTAAGGCCCGTTTCAGCTTGAACACGCCCCTTCACATGTTCGGACAAGACTAATGCTCCATTCACACATTCATTTACGCAAATCAGGGTCTGCTTTACTGCAGTCCAGACGGAGGGGGTAATGCACCTGAAGCTATTTGGTAACTGCCAAAAACTCTGCAAGAAGAATAAATTCTGTGCTTTAGCAGTTTAGTTACAACAGTAACAACGATCCATAATGACAAACGCATGAATCAGTCATGTTTATGAACTGTGAGCCAGACAGAAGTTTTATCATCTTCACAGACTCTCACTCGCACCGACAGATCAATGCTCTCACAAATTACACCTCTGATGGGGCTGCAGAAAATGTATCACCGCAGTTATTTCAGTTCATCCTGAGGGGGATATAAACGTCTTTAGCATATTTCTTGGCGAAGCGTCCAGTAGTTGTTGAGACGTTTCATTTAAAACGCTAGAGGGAACGTAAGGGAAACACCAAAGGCATTAGGATTCATCCTCTGTGGAGACGATGATGTCTTACCTCCTGTCACCAGATGATCACCTTCCTCAGTCCAGTGGATTACAATAACACACATATATATTATTGTGTTGTTTGTAATGTTGTCTACTGCATCATTAACTTTAAATGTACAACAAGGTCCCAGTGATGTGTTTTTTGTTGTTCCACGATTGTGACTGACTAAACTGAAACACACGGTGTGCGTACGTGTGTGTCGTGTGTGTGTGTGTGTGTGTGTGTGTGTGTGTGTGTGTGTGTGTGTGTGTGTCTTCAGAGTGTCGGTGTGTCCACGGTGTGTGTGATAACCGTCCTGGCAGTGGTGGTGTGTGTCGGAGAGGATCCTGTTTGGAGGGTTACTCTGGAGAAAGCTGCGACAGGACGGCCACGCCCTGCAACTCTGATGGACTGCAGGAACACTGTCACATCCACGCATACTGCACACACACAGGCCTGCACACTACGTAAGATACTACTACTACAACTACCAGTGTCAATTAGTCTTTTAACAAAAGTGTGTATAAAGTCAGTTTTATCCAACAAAAACCTCATTTTAATCTTCTTAGTCTTCAGCTGTGATTTTTGCTTTTACTCTTGTTCTTGTTTTTTAGTTTTGTGCATTTTCAGTAAGCTCTCTGCGACCATCTTGATATTTACAGTGTGTTTACAGAGTGTCGACGTCGGTCTGTTCTGCAGTAACACAACAGACTGACTCTCCTCAGTGAATTCAGCTGTCACCACTAACTGTGGCTGTGTGAACAGAGCCGCTCACTTTGTCGTTCTTGCAGCAACATGTTCTTATCTGCAGAGCAGATTGTCATTCAGATATGGATTCACCCAGCGTTCATTACAATACTGATCACTGCCTGCGTTTAGCTCAAGATGAGCAACTAAAATGTCACATAACATTAATGGAGTAACATTCATTCAGTCAACATCTAGAGGAAGATTTTATGCTGATATTAATATTACACTCATTCTCACTGAAACCCTTTAAACACAAAGATAGATGACTGAAAATAATGCTCACATTAGATCTACACTCCGTGATGACATTACCTTATTGTTAGCTTACTTTCCTATGAATGTCAGCGTGCTGGCCTCCCTGCTCGTGTTTGTCACAGCTGTTTCTTTCAGGGATGTTAGTTAGTGTCATGGCTCTGGGGATGGGATTGCTGGTTGGACAGTCACTGTGGCCCAGTCTGAAATATCTCAACAGCTGTCATTTGGTGCCAACACTCATGGTTCCCGGAGGATGAATCCTACTGATTTTGGTGACCCCCTGACTTTTCCTCTAGCACCTTCATGACATTGACGTTTGCGGAGTGGAGTGAAAAAGCTCAAAAGCTGTTGGTGTCACAATCAACAGAGGAACCCAAATGCAGGACACATGAACACGAAGGAATTTATTTCTCTGTAGCGAGAAGTTGAGGGGGGAGTGAGGGTCTTGGGGCGAGGAGCACAGGGGACCGGGCAGCAGGCTGGGATAAGGCATGCGTTGGCGTTTCTGTGTACAGAACTGTGAAAATTCATTTCCCCTTGGGGACAACTAACTGACTAAGGCGGCGTGGAGAGCGAAGAAGCGGGGGCTGTTGTGGTCAGCTGGGGATTGAGCCGCTGAGCGGGCAGGGCGGGCAGAGGAGGTCTGAGAGGCTGGAGACCGGCACCAGTGGCGGTACAACCAGGGAATATACGTATACACTGCTGCGTCTGATGAGCTGATGAACTGCAGGTGTGCTGGCTGAGTGGCAAACAAGTGACTGAGAGAGAGAGAAAGGGAGAACAAGAAAGAGGGAACGCCACACACACACACACACTCTCACTCTCTCACACACACACACACACACACACACACACAGAAGAAAACAGAGGGAAAGAGAAAACACCAGAAACACAAGGGAAAAAACTGGAGTCACTTGCTGTTGCCATGACATTTGGTTTACACACCGTGATGTGCCCCAGAGAAAGATTTGTAAAAACTCTGATCCTCTGACTTTTCATCTTGTCACATCATGAGGCCAACATTTCTGTTTATCCTTTGGTTTATGACCAAATACCTGCAAAGCTGAAACAGCATTTCCTCCAGCCTCAGCTTTTACTTTGTGTTTAGTGCCAGTTTACAAATGTTAGTATGTGAACACGCTAAACTAACAAGATAAACCTTACACCAGCTAAACATCAACATTATGTTATCATTGTGAGCACTGTAAGGATTTAGCCTGAAGCACCACTGTGGCTTAGCTCTAAGAAGTGACTGTGGTGTCGTCGGCTCGGATGGCGGAAAAACCTGGACTGTTGTTGTCACCAAAGAGGAGCAGCAGTCGCTCCTGTAGATTTCTCCTGTACAACATCAGGAGGATTCACCCTTTCCTCACTAGGGAGGCAGCCCAGGTGTTCATCCAGATGCTTAACTCCCACCTGTACTCCTGCAGCCCCCCCTCCTCTGCCATGTGTGTTTGTAACCTGTTGGTTTACAATGACACCTTAGGCAGGAACATCATCAGATCAACTGATCATCTGATAGTTCACTCAACCCAATCACTGTATTATAATATTATTATTATAATATTATAAAGAGAAGGTCTAGACCTGCTCTATTTGAAGTGCCTTGAGATACTTCCTGTTGTGAATTGGTGCCATACAAGTAAAAACTGACTTGACTTGACTTGACATCCTTTACCATCAGTTAAAGAATCATTCAATAATTCTTCCGTTCGTCCTCCAGTAAGTCATCGGTTCCCTGAGCAGCTGCTGAGTTTGTTCAACATTTGATCTGCGTGTGTGTCGCACCAGGTGTGTGTGTAGGGATGGATACGAGGGTGACGGCCACTCCTGTTCTCCCATCAACCCCTGCCTGCAGAGCAACCGAGGAGGCTGCGACACCAACGTAAGACTTACTGTTTGTGTGTGTGGATGATGATAACTATTTAAACCTCCCCAGAGTTTCATAGCCCCCCACCCAATATCTCAAAATAATGAAACAGTATTGAGCCAGTGCAAATCATTTCACCATTTATCAATAAAGGCCCCTTTTAAACATTTATCATCTGATTTTTTTTTAAATATCTTTTTAATGGGGTGATTATTTTCATAATAACCATTAATGAGCACATTAGAGTTGAAATAAGCAATTGTCAGATTCATGGAAGAAGTAACAAAATGGTGCGTTTCATTTATCAAATACTATTGCTTTCATCCATTTTTAAAGTGAACTACTGAATAACAGTATATATATATACATTGTGTATATATACAGTATATATATATATACACAAACTGTTTCATGTAAACAAAGACAAAGACTAGTGGTCAGGTCAAGAAGGCGAGTCCATAAAAAACGTATTTCACAGTCACGAAGATATAAAAGACTGATTGTTTTTAATTATATATGATGATGTATGATATATGAATTATATGATAAATCTCACAGGGCAAAACTAAACTTACATGCAAACATGGGGAAAAAAAGGCCCTGCCCTGCTCTCCATAACAGTCAAACTCCTCTTCAGCCAAAAGAAAAATGATGTAATCTTCGCTCTTTTCTGACCTTTCGGAGACTGAAAACTGGGATTCAAGGCTGTCTGCCTTTATAACATGTCCTCTCTCTCCTTCCCTCCTCCTTTATGTCTCTACAGGCAGACTGTGTGTATGCGGGTCCAGGCAATGCGTCGTGTGTGTGCGTTGAGGGTTGGACAGGTGACGGCAAAGTGTGTGTGGAGATCAACAACTGTCAGCTGGAGAGTCGAGGAGGCTGCAGCCTCAATGCCGACTGTAACCACAAAGGACCCGGGCAGGTCAGTGAGAAAACTTAAAGAGGAGTAATATTAACTGCCAGTTACTAACACTGTGTACTTTTCTCTCTTTCTCTTTCTCTTTCTCACACGTTTTCTCCTTGTTTGGGATTCCCACTTCCCTCTGCCGAGCAGCTTGCTTTCCTTTTGTGTGTAAAGGGCAACTGACAGTAGCAGCATCCCCCCCCGAGTTTTAAGGTTTTACTGATTACTTTTAAAGCACTTCATGGATCAGCTCCCACTTACATTACTTACGCAGCCTCAGATCCCAGGCAGTGCTCTCCTGCCTGTTGCTAAGTCCCGGCTCAAGACTAATGGAGACCAGGCTTTTGCTGTCAGGGCCCATCAGCTCTGCGTCTCCTGAAGAACTGAGATTAGAGAATCAGTGACATCCTTTCAATCACTTCTCAAAACGTAACTTTTTGAAAAGGTCTGTTCTGTTCTCTCTGATTATTAGCTAATTAACCAATCAGCTGTGTGACTGTACAGATTGTAGAAGACTGTTAAGAACCGTCTGTGTGTCTGTCTGTGTGACTGCAGAGTGAGTGTGTCTGTAAAACAGGTTACATGGGGAACGGGATCAAGTGTGACCTCGTCAACCCCTGCCGCAACAAGAACGGGGGCTGCCATGGCATGGTACACACACACACACACACACACACACACACACACACACACACACACACACACACACAGTATTTGTGTCATGTCATGTCAGCCATGAAGAAAGATTTGTTTTATTTACTGAGGATGTAAAAGATGGGTTTTATTTTCATGATTGTGGCCTTCCTGACTGACTGTGCACTCAGCACCTCTCTTGTAGAGAGTCAGGAAAAACAACATATGTGGGAACAAGCAGCTCAAAGCTCCTGAAACTTTCCAAATAAACTTTGATGTTGTATAAATTACTCAAAATTCTTCTCACTGAGTCCAAACAAAAGTAAACACAGAACTCACGATCTTTGCTGCAGAGACTTCTGCCTCCCCCTCAGTGAGTGGTTTGTTTTAGTCAAGGCTCCCAAAATATGATTAACAGTGTCCTGATCCTCTTCTGCTTCTTCTTCTGTGTGGAGAAAGTTTGTGCTCATTCTGTGATAATAGTTCTCAACTCTTAAGACTAATGTCTGTGGAGTAGGTCAAATATCTTCAGATGTCTCTTCCACAGATTAAAATTGTGATTTTTCTACATCTGAAAAACTTTCATGTGCAATATCTTTATTTGTGTTTTGAGAGAAAACTGAACCGTAAAAATATCAGAGCATAGTAAGTGTTTTTGGTCACTGTGATCTCAGCAGGACAGATACATTTCCCATGAACCCTATCTGCTGTATACTGTGTTAGGCGCAATGTGAGCTGAAAGAGGGAGGCACTCACACCTGTACCTGTCCTGACGGCTACGCTGGCGACGGAATCATCTGCTATGGATCATTACTGGATGTAAGTCTTCAGATCAGTTTAATATAGGAATGTCCTGATCAAATTTTATTTTGTTCCTGTTGCCAAAATTGACATAATGTGATCGGCTGGAGAGGAGACGTCTCACTCTGTTGAAGTTGTTACAACTACAGAAACATCCACGGTTGTACATCAGTGTTACAGAGTGGAAAGTCTTTGTACACAAAAGATCTTTGCTTTGCTAACTGTGTGTGTGTGTGTGTGTGTGTGTGTGTGTGTATGTGTATTGTAGGAGCTGGACATGAACTCAAAGATGTTCAGTTTCTACCGACTGACTCAGGTTTGTACATTTAAACTTCGCTGGGAGACCAAACTCCAAAGTTCCTGCTGTGGGGATAAATAAAGTTATCTGGTGTCATTTAAATTTACTCATCGTTGAAACCATCCATTGCTCTGAAAAATGTGTGTGTGTGTGTGTGTGTGTGTGGTCAGAAGTACAATCATTTCCCTGAGGACCTGAGTGGGAACCTCACCATGTTGGTTCCGTCCAGAGAAGCTCTGAAGAACATGAGCGGGGATCTGGACTTGTTCTGGACCAGCCGACACCACCTGCCTCACTTCCTGCGGTCAGTCACCTCACACACTGATCAGACATGTATAAAACACACACACACACGCGCCCAGTTTATAGGTCAGAATCTGCAACTGCTCTTGTTCTCTGTCTTGTTCTATTGTCACATGAGAAGATGGATGAGTTTCACAGTTTCCTCTCCGTGTGTCTGATGCAGGGAGACGTTCAGAATGTGTTTATCCTAGCTTAGCACAAAGACTAAGAAACTGCTATTCGAGCTGTCAGTCATCTCATCTGATTTACTAACAAAGATTTCCCGAAAAAGCCTGTCTGTTGTTTTACTTTATCAGCTAAAATAAGTTCAGTGTAGAAAGTTTCATCATCTGACAGCCACACCTGTGTCATTGAGCTCACAGAGGTCTGAACTTGCCTGTGTGGTAGCAGGTGTTTTCAAGGTTTTCCTCCAGGCCAACATGAACTCGATGAGACAGACTTTTCATAACAAAATAATCCATTAAACACCATGCCCAGAGGCTGCTACAGAGATATGAGGTACTCCCATAGTATAAATACTTATGAAGTGATGAAAGTCCTCCTTGGTCTTTGAATCATGCAAGCAGTAAGATGCATCTTTTAAAGATTATTGAGTAATTTTTTTACTCTTTAACATTGGACTTGATGGATTGCAGATCATTCAGGCTTGAAATGGCATCCACGATCTCCCAGGAGCACGTTGTGAGTCTGTGTCCGGTGAAATGAGTTGTAACCATTTCCTTTTGCTCCTTCTGGTTGCAGGGCCCACATCCTGCCGGGGATGTACTCTATAGAAGATCTGGACAGACTGGTGGGCAGCAGGCTGCCCACCCTCAACCCTCCCACCTCCTGGGAGATCAACAACAGCAGCGGGGTAGGTATGGGGTAATTGTGACTGACCAACTGACCACACATGCAGCTGGATTTACTAACACTCATGCAGTTAGTGAGGAAGGATTGAAGTTGCACTGCGGCTCTGTGGTTTGTGACTGGTAATCGGGTTACAATCAGCTTTCTCCAGTTGATTTTTTTAGCGTCATGTAAACGAGAAATGTGGTTTCCATAATCTGTACAGGGGATTAGAGAAACGTGATTATCCCGGCCAGATTTTTCTCCTGCAGAAATAAGTTTCTTTCGGCAAGTACAATACATAGTTTGTCTGAGTAGGAGTTGAACTGCAGCCTCAGTAATGTTATAAAATCTTGTTATTTCATTATTGAACATGTCTATGCAGCATCACATTATTATTATTTTCTGACCTTGGCGATCTCAGGAGAATCTCACCTCTCTACTGACCCCTGCTTCACTTATAGAGACTGGAGGGTTCGACCCAGGTGCAGAGGAAGTGTACACGAAGTGCTGTCTCAGCTAATCGGGCGCTAATTACACACAATTTGCGAGTGTCTGGTCCATGCTCTGTCAAGACTATCGCACATTATCACACCTGACATATCTGAAGCCCTAGTTCAGAGTTAGATACACACACATATATTGTATATTTGACTGTTATTATTTTGTTCCAGATGATCCACGTTGGAAACGCCTCCATACTCGAACACAACATACCTGCAATCAATGGCTACATTCACATCATAGACCAGGTGAGAGTCGGCTTCTTAACAACCAAGAGGCTGGGAAATTAATACCCTGGTGATTTCTTAGAGTTTTACCAGTTGTGTAGCTGGTTGGTCCTCATTTATTGTTTATTTATTTGGCTGTTGTCAGGTTCTGGCCCCTTCCCGCTCAGATCTCCCCCCCGAGCCTCCCAAGCTGATGGCCTTCCTGAACTCCTCCTCCGACTTCACTCTCTTCAGACAGTACGCTCTGGTAAGATTGTCCGTCTGTCTGACTGTTTATCCATCCTTCAGTCTGTCTAATCAAAACCTTGTTTGTTTGTTTTTTAAGTTAAGTGTACGTGTGTGTGTTTTCTCACAGATGTACAACCTGTCACAGGACTTGAGTATGTTTGAATTTACCCTCCTGCTGCCGACAGACGACGCCATCAGGCAGCACCTCAGCAGGACTAACTCCTCCCTCCTGGTAGGTCCAGATGATATGAGCCAGTGCACAAGCTGATGCTGGCCTGGGTTACTCCAGCAGTGTTTGTTTACAATACACACTGAAGGAAGGATATTCTCCTTTTTCATGTTATGCAGATGCAACAAGCAATCTAACCAAACATTCCCAACCATCATCGTGTCTTTGAACTCAGCATTTTCAGAGTTAAGGGCAGTGTGCGTGTCCTTGCCTTTTAAGCATTTAGCAAAATTATTTTTGTTGCTAGCAGCAGCTAACATTAGTCACATGAATCAAAGAAATATGTTGATTTAAAAGTTGTTATTTCCGTTAGTTCACGTACAACAACCTGTACAGCTGCAAATATCTCATTCAGAAATCTTTCTGGCTCCAGCACATGAAGTCGACTTCCTCATCCTTAATTCTGTCTAAACAGCTCTGATTGGTCAGTGGTCAACTAGACAAACAGCTGCTAATCAGCGCAACCGACAACATTGAAATTGCCAAACAAATAATTAAACCAGAATGGTTTATTAACCCCCTTCACCTGTCTGCGTCCTGTTTATTCACCTCTGTGTCTATCCGTCCAGGACTCTGATGTGTTCAAGTACCACGTGATTCTCAATGAGCTGCTCTTTCCTGACCACCTGTCCGATGGCATGTTGAGAAGCACTCTGCTGGGCAGCGACCATCAGGTCCATTTCCACATTAACGACAACAACCAGGTAACAACAACCGCACCAACACGAGCTTCACAAGCTTTCTCACACCAGAACATTGAACAGTCTGTCAGTTCAGGGACTACACTGCTGCTTTTGCATTCCTGTCAGTTCTTAGATTGATTTTCCTCCTTCCAGGCAGCCATGTTTCCATGTTTCCAGGTTCCAGTTCATTTCTATGAAAATTAACCTGCAGAGAGGTGGATGAATGAATGAATGAATGAATAGTTTTATTTTTGTGTCTGGCCATTTGCATTACCCATTCCTCATGGAAATTTTCAGACACATTAATAAACAACAAAAAATATGTATGTAAACCCACCAGCGTCTAACAGCACAATATACTGACCTCATACAAACACAAATAGCCTACACAAAATGTCCCAGAAGATAAACAACAGTGGAAATCAAATAGAAATATACACACAGCCTCAAAGGTGTAAACATAATATATATATAAATTTAAGCAAACATAACAAGAAAATCAACGTCTGCATTCATTTGTGGCAGTTTATACGACAAACAGTCCATAATCCATATAAAATGAGTTATTTCTGTCCTCCAAATCCATGCTTTAGAAACATATTCAGAAAACACATCCTCTATTCTAATCAAATCTAAACCTGGAACAGAAACGTTTATAAATGTTTGTCATGAAATGATCCATTCATTCAGTTTTGTCAAAGCTGTAGTTACATTTTCTGATATTGGTGCTGTGTTCAAGCGCATTCTGACTTATGAGGTCTACTGAACAAGAACAAGTAAATTTACATTACTCTTTTTGTTGTTTATCTTCTAAGTTTGATTTCATGGCAACAGAGATTGTCAGTGAAATGCATTTGAGTTGCTGTCAGTTCTTGGATGAGCTCTCCACTGTGGAGAGTTTTGAAAACAGTTCCTGCTCACAGCTGCATTATCAGGTGGTGATACTGAAACTCTGACAGAAAATTAAAGCTTCCTAAATGTTGACTGTGATGGATTATCTCTCTGCAGCAAGATTAAAGTCTATGCAAATTGATTTTTCATAGAAATGAACAGAGATCAGTGGCTGCCTGGAGAGAGGGAAATCAATCTAAAAACTGAATAATTTAGAAGATGAACAGTATGTTTGTGAAATATGCAAATACTCCAGTATGGTCTTTTAATAATGTGTATATGTAAAAATCGTTACCAGCCGGGTGGAGTGAAAAGTCTGACTTGTTTCTCGTCCTCCAGACACTTGTGAACGACGTTCCTCTTGACGGCAGTTTTATTGAGACGCAAAATGGTGTCATCATAGTCCTCAC